GTGAGTGAGTGGGTGGGTGGGTGGGTGGGTGGGTGGGTGGGTGGGTGGGTGGGTGAGTGAGAGAATGAGTGAACGAGTGAGCGAATGCGGAATGAGTGAATGAGTGAGTGAGTGAGTGCGAGTGAATGAGTGAGTGAGTGAATGAGTGAATGAGTGAGTGAGTGAGTGAGTGAGTGAGTGGGTGAATGACTGAATGAGTGAATGAGTAAGTCAGTCAGTGAGCGAGTGAGTGAGTGAACTTTGCAGCGGCGTATTCTTGCAGCAATCCTCAGCCCGCGCTTCCCCCGATCAACTTTAGTCTCTGCATTCTGCGCGCGCTGCCGGCAATACAAACACGGTTCATCATTCCAGCTTCCGGTTAGCACAAAACATTCGCTGTATTCTAATTGGGCGTGACAATGTTGTGTGCCGTCAAGCCCTGCAAATACATGGGCAAATGTGGTGGCTTTGAACATGCGATGCCTGGAGAAAAACAAACAAATCAAACTTCAGTAGTAGGACCTCAAGAAACCAAACAACACGCACACGCATAACACACTACACATTCCGAACTTGCGCAGAAAGCAAGCCTTTCCGCAAACCCTCCGCGGAAGCCGGGTGGTTCAACTTTTCAAGGGTCCAAATTAATCTGTCATTCCATTCAGCTGCACCAAAAAAGCCCCTCAACGTCTGCAAGCCTAAGCATGCAATATGTATGCCCAAATGGGCCGGCCTGAGGGCAATTACTCTGTGAGACCCTCTGCTTCCTGGAATTTGCCAGATGGGCTAGCACAGAGCTAAGGCAGCAACTCCAGAGCGCGAAGGAATCCCGAAGTGTAGACAAACTGAGGTCGCAACCTACCAAGTTGCTGCTGAGGGCTCCCATCCGCATGTGTCACCCTTGTACGCGGGCAATGTCGTTTAAGGTTGTTCTTTCGCCGTTTCAGTATCGCCGCTCTTGTTTTTGTCGTGGCATTCCAAGCCGTCAGCTGCTCTTGGCTGTTGAGCAGCCGGCTAGCTACGAGAGGCGACATTTTGGAAGCGAGGTAGCTTTAGAATTGAGACCTGCCTGGCCTTTGCATAGCTCATGGAACTTACACGGTACCTCAGCCAACTTCCGCGCCCAATGCATTCCAGTTGGATGGCTAGGTCGCCAGGGCATGTGTCGCCCACATGCTCCCAAACGCAAGGCCGGGAGAGCTAATTAGCCTGCAGTAGCGGTCCTTGTGCTTGCAAGACTGACTGACATTCAAAGTTTGCCCCATAAATGAGCTGGCGCGCCCACATATCAATTGGCAACGTCAAGAAAGATATGATGCCGTCTTCCTCTGTGGTGATCGTGCGCAACATGCAAGGCCATGCCCCTACTCAATGCTCAGTTTCAAAGGATTAAAAGGCTCATGCATATGGAGTACATTGAGTACGATGAGAATCCATCAAGAATAAGCCAGATGCCTTACAACCGCACCAACATGAGCACGTTGCCTCAGGCTCTGGGCCTAGCGCCCTGGCGGTCCCAGGTCTGATAAATCGATTTCAGTGTGTACTGGAAAAGTGTCTGCATCTTTCTCAACTTTCCTTGGCTCAGAATCTGCCTCCAGCATGCATATATCTGATGCTTCCGGTCATGAGCCACCTTCAAGCACAGTTTATGCCAAGCGTCTTGAGGAAGTCTGTCAAAGGCTTCCTCAAATTCGGTCAGAAACGAACAAGGCCACGGCGCACACAATCTCGCGCGGCAACGTGCTACAATTTCCTTTGCAACATCTGTCCAGTCAGCCAGGCTTCTGAAAGCTGGCCTGTCACTGCAACGCAATGCAAAACCAAAGGATGCTGATTGCCAGGCCTTGAGTGAATTCTCAGTGATGAATCGTTCGGCTGCATCTTTGCACCTATCAGACGCCTTGACACAAAGTGTCTGCACGCTTCCATCTCCGATCTTGACCTGGCTCAGGCGCAAAGCTCCACGTGGGGTTAAGGGCATAGTAACTATGGTGGGACACCTTGCCATTGCTGTCCTCAATGAACATCCCAATGAAGCTGAAAACAATCATCGGCGGTTTTGACCCGTGCCACGGTCTATATCCCTTTTAGTGTGTTGAGGCTGGCCACGTGTTGATTTGGATGCGTCATCCTTGGTTTCTATTCATGATTTGGTCAGCGTACCTCTTGTCAATAGTAGGCGTTGCTCACCCCAGCAATTCCCGTCTCATGCTGCGCGCCACCCCGGCCTGCGCTTCAATCAGGATTGTCTCTTGTCGTGACGAGGGGCTGGCAGCCTTTTCCTTTTCTGGTGCTGTGTCTTGGGCCTTCTCAGCATGTGGTGCAGTCTTTTCCGGCAGCTTTTCTGGACTCTCGAGCGGTTCTTCGTTCGGCTCTGCTGCACTTTCCGTTGCGCTGGCTTCCGCAGGAACAGGAGAAGCCTCGGCCTGAGCACTTATGACCAACTGGACACCCATGTTAGACACCTTGGAAGCCATATTATTGAGCACCAATTTAAGCTCTGAGGCCTGAGGGGCTAAAGGGGAAGAGGTGGAAGCTGAGGGAGCATCAGTTGACTTGTCGGCCTCAAGAAAGCTTGAAGATCCCATGGAAGTTCGAATCGAAGCGCCCATCTTAAGAATCTTGGGGCCGGACAGCTACAACTCGTGGCTCGCCTTTTTTGTGTGGTCTTCCTTGGTAGTGCGAATGGTTCATGATAGATTGCAGCCAACGTGCCCCGGATACAACCCACCCGCAAAGGCACATCCCAATGTAGAACGATGTGACACATTGGCGCCAGGATTCCAGCTCCATGGCGTTGCGGCACAGAGCCCTGGGTAAAAAAGGCCAGGCAAGGGATGCGATGGTAAGCCTGGTAAGCATTGAAGCACATCTGGCAATGCTAGCGTTGATGCATCAGAGTATCTGCGGAAGCTTGAACCTCCTGCACCTTCTTAGCAATTTCACTCCTCAGCTCCAAGGACCTTGCCTCAAATGCCTCACGCGCATCACAATCACAACTACCAACCCCTCTCCATTGAAACACTCTCGGCTGGTTGTTCAGAGTCGCCAACAACAGTGGCTGAATCCCACCTGGGAACTTGTAAATTGTTGACCTCATCAAGATGCTAATGGCATGGAAAAAATACTTTGAGATACTTTGAGCTGAAATCGCCAGCTGAGCATCCGTTTCTCTTCCAAATATCCTGAGGCTCTTTGCCAAAAACCGCTGGAGCGAGCCTCCTCAAACGCGTTCGAAAGCTTCTTGACAGCCTGCTTGCCCATATCTTGCACCTCATGCCAGGGGTGCTGCCCAATACTCGTCAATCCAAATGCTAACCCAATTCCCTGCTTTGCCGGTCGGAAGCATCGCTTGCAAAGCCATGGCCTGAACTTGCATGCGCATTTGCGCTGCTGCGTATTTGTTGTTGAGCATGAGCTGCCCAGAGAAGCAGGAAACAGAAGTATGTCAAATGTGCAGGAGATGTGCCTGTGAACACGTGCGCCCTGTGCGAAAGGGCGTCTTCATGCATGCCTGCATGTTTGCGTGCGTATCTGCGCTTTTGTGCTCATGAGATGGACGCACGAGGGCTTGCAACGCGAAAAACATATGTGCGTGAAATCGTGTAAATGATTATGTGTGTGTATGTCACATCTGTGAGCCTGTATTCGCTGTTATGTTTGTGAGGGTGTCTGTCTGCGTGTGTCTGTCTGCGTGTGTCTGCCTGTGTGTGTCTGCCTGCGCATGTCTGTCTTGCGTGTGTCTGCATGCGTGTGTCTCCGTGCATGTGTCTGCGTGCGTGTGTCTGCGTGCATGCGTCTGCGTGCGTGCGTCTGCGTGCGTCTGCGTGCGTGTCTGCGTGCGTGTCTGCATGTGTCTGCATGTGTCTGCGTGCGTTCGCGTCTGTCTGCGTGCGTCCGCGTGTGTCTGCGTGTGTCTGTGTGTGTGTGTGTGCGAGTATGTGTGTGTGTGTGCGTGTGGGTAGGTGTGTGTGTATGCGTGTGCGTGTGCGTGTGCGTGTGCGTGTGCGTGTGCGTGTGCGTGTGGGTGTGGGTGTGGGTGGGGGTGTGTGTGTGTGTGTGGGTGTGGGTGTGTGGGTGTGTGGGTGTGTGGGTGTGTGGGTGTGTGGGTGTGTGTGTGTGTGGGTGCGTGCGTGCGTGCGTGCGTGCGTGCGTGCGTGCGGGGGGGTGCGTGCGTGCGTGCGTGCGTGCGGCGTGCGTGTGTGTGTGCGTGGGTGGGTGGGTGGGTGGGTGTGTGTGTGGGTGCGTGCGTGCGTGCGTGCGTGCGTGCGTGCGTGCGTGCGTGCGTGCGTGTGCGTGCGTGCGTGGGTGGGTGGGTGGGTGGGTGGGTGGGTGTGTCTGTGTGTGTGTGTGCGTGTGCATGTGCGTTTCTGTGTGCGTGTGTGTACGTGTGTGCGCGCGTGCGTGCGTGTGCGTGCAGGGGTGTGCATGTGCGTGTTTGCTTGTTTACTTGCCTGCTTACTTGCTTGCTTGCTTGTTTGATTGCTTGTTGTTGTGTTTGTGCGCGTGTGTGGTTGTTTGCTTGCTTGCTTGCTTGCTTGCTTGCTTGGCTGCTTGTGTGTTTGTTTCTTTGCTTTATTGCTTGCTTGGTTGTTTGGTTGTTTGGTTGTTTCTCTGTCTCTTTGTTTGTCTGCTTTTGCGCGGGCGTGTTTGCGTGACTTCGTGCGTGCCTGCCTACGTGGGTGAGTTAGTTTGTATTTGTGCGTGTGTTGTCTGTCTGTGCGAGTGTGCCAAGGGGCAAGGACAAGAGTCCAGCATATTTAAGTTCGCAATTCTGCGTGCAACAAAGTGCACTTGAATATGCTTGCGCGCAAGTGGTTCTACAGCTATACTTTCACAGCATGCATAATACATTCAAGCCACCTCCTGAACGCGCTCTTGCACGCGTTCTGAGTTAGGAAGCTCATGGGCTAGTGCTGCCTCCTTGATCGCTGCAATTGGGTTTGGCATCGAGGGCATTGCTGCTGCCTTTTGTGACTTTTCCTGCGGCTTTTTGATCTCACCGATGTGCTCCCCGGTCACGAAAGCGGTGTCTCGGGGCTTCACCGTCTCCCAGAAGCGTCCAACAAAATCCAGCGGTCCCTCTTCCAGGATAGGATCAACCGTATTGTGAGCTCCGATGTTGAGCTTTTGCAGCTCTTTCATGAACAGGGTGATGGTGTCATTCAATTGCACCTGTTCGAGCCGTTGCGAAAGAAAAGGCAAACAAATACGACGGGCCAAAGCAAGGTGCTGGAACTGCGACAGCCTTCTCCCTTTCCAGCTCTTCCCGTTCTACTTCTAAATCCTTCAGCATCTCCTGAACTAAAGCCAGGTGCAATCGTGCACAAGTTCAAAATGAATTTCTATGAGCTGCTGTGCCCAAAGCAAACCAGTGCGCAGTGTAGACAATTCATCTCATTGCCAAGTCTCTGTGAGAGACTCGTGGCTTTTTGTCAGCCGGTCAGCCATCCCGCGAAGCTCGCTCATGTCTTTGTCTGCGAGCCTGGGCGCTATAGAAACTTGTTGGACTGGCCATGACGGACGTGCTCCAAAGCTGAAGGAGCAAAAGCAGAAATCAAAACACACCTCTAAAGACTCTAAAGTGCTGTCAGTGGTCACAGCGATGGCCTCGGTAGTGTCACATCCATTGGCATGCGCCTCTGTCATTCTTCCTGGCCTCAGGGCCTCAGGGACAGGCTTGCTTTGCGTTTCAGAGTCGTAGTTCGGACCATCTGTGCAACAAAATGAAAAAGTAGAAGCAGCAGCAGCAGCGGCGGCGGCGGCAGCAGCAGACCAGCAGCATGTCAGCATGTCAGCTCACCTTGCCTGCGCAATGAATAACAGGCCTGGTAAAGGTCTAATACCTATCTTAAAGAGCCACGTGGGCTGCGGTGCTCAACAAATGAACGAACCTTCAGCCTGATCACCCAAGCCCCGAGCAAGCACGTCAAGAAGCATGGCAAAAGCAGGACGTGGTGGTGCAAGCACGGCTTGATACTGTGGGGGCGAACCGTCGCTCTGTCTTCGGATCATCCCGGATTTTTTGCAGCAGGTCTGCCTGAGACTCTGAGATAAGCGGGCTGAACCTTGCGCCTTGCACTGTCAAAGCTGAGTTGTTTACCACTGCTTTCGCTTGTTCTTTGCCACGTTCTGCCAAGAAGTAGCATGCAGGCCGTGCAGGCCGTGCAGGCCATGAACACGGAAGAAAACAAATGGCCTGTCAAGCCAGGGTCAGGTTCGCGGCCTCACTGGCAACATGGGCACAATGGGCACGATTGTACACTTGCATACATAAAACCAAGCTATAGCCTCTGAAAGAAAGGAAAGAAAGATTAACCTAGCCATCCTAGCCTCAACTCAGGAACATAGTGCTTACTCAATGCTTAGTCAGCATGGATTTGACCTGACTGCACCCTTCAGGGTCTGGACCAGGACGAGGGGAATGCAGCAGGTCTGTCTCTGCCTTGCGTTTTGGCAGCACGTGATGGGCACGCATGCTGTCGTCTTCAACTTCACACACCGCAGACCTCGCAAACAAACGAGCCATATCGAGCCATATTGTTCCACAGCAATCTTGAGCCTGGGCATGTTATGTACAGGATGGCTTCGGTAAGATCCAATCCATCCCACCCCTTCACACGAAAATCAACTCACAGCTCTTGCTCCATCAGGGCTTCAAGCCCTTGGGCAAAGCTGCAACTGCACTTGAACACCTTTTTTGGTGCGCCAAATGCCTGTGGGGTCATCAGAATGCCGCAGCAGTTCCTCAGTGTGGTTGTCAGAATACCGTATTCTGCATGTCTCCAAAGCAGGGCCACCTCTGGCCCAAACTGAACATTCAGAAGGATGCCACCATATGGGCTGGGAGACGGCAGCGACGCCAGAGTGCACAAGAAGCTTGGGGGTATGATGCAACAGAATCCAGTGGCCGGCGGCAGGGCTGGCTTTCCCCCTCTGCCCCTTGCTGCCCTTGCCGCCCTTGCCGCCCTTGCCGCCCTTGCCCTTGGCCGTGCCAAGCTTGCCGGCCTTGCCCTTCGCCAACTTCATGCCTGTGTCAACGCCCTCTGGCAACCATTTGGGACCGGAGCGGGGCGGAAGTTCATGACGCTTCGGCAGAGCGGCCTTTCCCTTCCCAAGGCGGACTCCACCAACGCCAGCTTCTGGTCCGAGAGCCTTGTCAGCAAGCACCAGGTTGAAAAACATTCGAGTGTCAGCCGTGTGCTCCTCGACTCGCTTGCCTCGAACATATATCTTGACGTGAGGTCTGCTGTAGCCATCCTCTCTTTCTCCCTTCTGCGGGCACTGAATCACCTCCCATTCTCCTTGAAGCTGCTCCAGCTCCTGTGCAGCGGTGCTCTGGCCATCTGGGCGTTGACTTTCTGGTACTCGCTGCCGGCTGAGGAGCTCTACTTGGTGTGGGCCGGCCCATTTGCCAGACAACACCTTCACGATGAATTCAGTTCTTGACTTGGACTCGGTGGGTTCATCTTTTCTGCAAGGTTTTGCTCGCGGCTTGGCGAAGATTTGGAAAACCATAGTTGGGAGACGAGTCTTGGGCTCGTGCGGCGCTTGAGCTCCCTTTCCCTACTTGAACCAGCATCGGCTCTTCTCTCTCCCCCCCCTCCCTGTCCTCTCTCTCTCTCTCTCTCTCTCTCGCTCTCGCTCTCTCTCTCTCTCTTTGTCTCTGTGTCTCTTGCACAAGGATCGAGCCTGTTGCGACGTGCTATCATCTTCGCTTAGCTTGATTAGCTTGACACCTCGTCCTGCCACAACACAGCACCATAGCACAATGCAAACACAAGCAGAAACAACCCAATTCGGCGTCCTTCGCACGCCACTGGGCTAAGGTGTCGCGCAGTTGGACTCGCCAAAGGTGAGGCCAAAGGAGACGGCAAGTTCATCACTGAGACATCGTGCAGGTCGCGGCCTACACAGTCAACAGACCACACTGGACACCTGTCTGAGGGTAAGCCATGCGCTATTGTTTTTGGACTCCGCATGACGGACGAGGTACACATACAAGGCCTCACACAAGCAATTCATCTGCAAGATGCGCAAGTACCCTGTCAACACTGCAGGAGCGCCTTCACCATTTCATGTGTTGCAGTCCTGCGAGGTGTCAGGCGCAAGTAAAGCAAAGCTCCTCATTGCAAAAACGATCAAGCAATCAAGCTAGCGGCTTGCCACAACACCCCGCATCCTCTGGAACAAGCGAACGTGCACACCCACTTGTCCAGCCGGGAACTCCTGAATGCGAACAAGTCAAAATAGAATTAGGCAGCTGGAATTGCACACATGCGCTTCACGCGCCTCTGCAAGCGGCCGGCGGCAAATACATCAAGGTTGGAGAGCTGGAGCCATGTCAGTGGTACATGCAAGCGCGGTCTGCACACAAACTGCTACCAAACCCCGAAGAAACTGACAAAATTGTTGATTGCCCAAGGTCGAGATTCGGACTGGTGGTGCGTTTTCATGCGTTTTCCAAGCTTTGGCGCGGCTTTCTTGCGTATGCGTTTCCTAGATAGCACTTGCGGTCAGCCCCTGCACCGTCACCTCAGACAAGGGTGACGTCAACTGCCAGCACACGAGAGCGGCGCATGCCAGGCAACAATCGAAAGTGCAGGTCCGAGATTTTGAACTTGGGGGCGGAGATGGCGGTGGGGAGAAGAGTCCAAACAAGGCATGGTCACTGCCTAGGACGCAGTCAGCGCACCAGCCAGTGCCAACACAACACCAGCGCTAGCCAGTCAGCCTCCAGTGGAGCAGCAGATCGCAAAGCAGATGTTGGCAAACCTAGCCAAAACAGTTTGGGCATCATGTAAGCAGTTGTTTAGCCTTAGGCCAGAAAACGGTTTCTGCAACTAAAGGCCCAAGCTGTTGCGTGACGTATTGGGGCTGGACTTGCGCAAGTTGGCTCAAGGGCGCGCTCGGGTGACACTGATACTTAGACTGCCCGTCCAATTGGTCAAGGCCGCTAGGGCGGACACAATGGCTCTGTCATGCTCGCCGGCACAGGCGGGGGTGCCAAGTGGCGAGCCAGGCTGGCCGCTCACCAGCGGGCAGCTCAGCGTTGGCAGCTCGCAACGCGGGGTGTTGCCCCAGTGACGACAAAGCAATCATCATCAGGCAGCTGACCCGGCCTGGACCACAAGGCCACCTACGCTATGCTATACGTACTCGAAGGTGCTGAGTAAAACATGTGAACGGATGGCTAAATGCGGGATGCGCCCGGTGTCTCCCAACCAGGCACCCAACATGGGCTAGCGGCTGATAAGTGTCAAACGGGCCCACCCATCAACAGACAGCAAGGTTCAACTCGAGAGCTGTTAACAGGTGCCCCACAAGACTGACGCATTCTGCTGTGCAAGGGTGCGGCCTGCCATTGGGCTTGAGGAGCCCGACCATGCGCCAAGCAATGGGGCTTGGACTTGTGATTTTCGATCGCATTGATCACGATTCTCTTTTCAGCGAGCTGCTGGAGCCTCGCAGCGAACGCTCCCTCAGCTGCGACTGCGAGCATCTGCCCCCGCCGGCGCCTGTACGTGGCTGCGACTGCTGTGCGCTGTTCTGCGGGGCTGGCGAGAGCGCGACCCTGCGCTATGCGCTGGAGGAAGGCTTTTGCCTCCTCGCCCCATTCGAGGGCCAGCACCTCGCTGGAACTCCTATCCTGCGCGTTCCCCCCCTGTGCTTCAACAAACACAATGATTTTGCACCCAGCACACATCTCATAAGGACGCCCACGTTGTCTCCTTCTACTCGTGAATTGCACACCCGTTATGGGTGCTGGAAAGCAAGCATGGGCCTGTGTGTGCGCGTGTTGCTCGTATGGTCCTGTGTGCGCGCGCATTGCTCCATGGATTGCAAAACCACCCTCCCCTGAACCCTCCCCTTCCAAAGTAAGGCCAAATTAAGAGGACACATAAAAGGAAGGCCTTATTAAGGACTTAGTAGGGACTTATTAAGCCCTTATTAAGGCCTTAATTTGGCCTCAAAATTAAGGAGGAATTAAGGCCAAATTAAGACAAAGTTGGCTTTTGGAAATTCACCCTTGCGGACAAATTAAGGCCAAATTAATGTTTTTGTTTGTGCACCAATGACTCAAGCCAATTCAAGCCAACAATGCAAATTGTAAAGCGGACTTAAGGCAAGACTGAGCTCAAACGTGCCAGCCTTTCAAACGTGCTAAGTGAAAACGCGATGTCCTGATTTGCTTGTGCGTGCCTACGGTGTATTGGGTTGGGAATCACGCCAAGCTACTGTAAAGCAAAATTAAAGCAAAATAAAGGCCAAATTAAGGCCAGATTAAGGCCAGATTAAGGCCAGATTAAGGCCAAATTAAGACCTATGGGATTTTGGTTTAAGCACAATTAAGGCCAAATTAAGGCCAGATTAAGGCGCAAATGCACATGGGATTTTGGCTCAAGCAAAAATCCAAATTAGGATCAAATTAAGGCCAAATTAAGTCCAGATTGGCGCACATGCCTAATGCAGCAAACATATAGCTCGAAATAAGGCAGGAGTAAGGCAAACGTAAAGCCCAATTCAAGGGAACACTGAAAGCGCGCCTAGGGAATTTGAAGAAACAGAAACTGAAAGCCAAACTGAAGCAACATGAAATCCAATCGGCAGGCGGGTTGGCTACCGAGCACCGATGGCTTCAGGAAGTTGCTTCAAAAAATAGCCCGGGCTGGTTTGGAAACTATGATTGCTCGTTCGCCGTGCCAGGAAACCGGAAAGCTGCGTGTCCCACAAAAACAGGGGAACTATTTGAATGGTTTTTCAAGCGCTACCCCGAAACTGGGAGCACACATTGCGAAGGGCGTGCGCAGTCACTTCCATGTCGGAGCGCGTTGTGTCTCATCAACTTCTTCGCACTTATCCTGAACGCAGAGCTCCTCGCATGACATCTCATACGTTCCGCGCAAAAGTCACCTTTCCGAAAGGCCACTCCTTCAAACGTCGCGCGCGAGGTAACGCACGCATTGCTGCGCACAACCGCGCGAAAGGTATCGACCTGCGACTCTTGGACGTGTGCGTTTGCAGGGACACGCGCTTTTCTCTTTGCAAGAGCAAGCAAGTGCAAGTGCTTCAAACAGAACAGTCCTGGCAACTATTCGGACATCAAGCTACCTGTCGCAGCTGAACGGTGCTTGCGGCTAGCCGACGTTCTCACGTTTCTGCAGAGGCATGTTGCGCGAAGAAGTCTAGCAGATCAACGTGGCAGTTGATTGCGTCCGCTGCTGCCAAGTGGTTCACAAATCGTTTCAGATGGCGCTTCTACTTGGGAACCTCGCAATTTGGGGGGCAAGCACTTTTTTGCTGAAAGCTCTCTCGATTGGGGACGCCGGCTGGTTTTGATCAGCAAGAGATTTGATACTGATGCTTCGTCGTGGTTTAACGAAAACCCTGCAAAGTGGAAGGAAGCTCGCTGGAAGCCAGCCGCCGCGAGGCAATCAAACAGTCCGTGCCACCGCCAACGCAAGTTGAGATTGGCCCCCCAGTGGACGACATTCTGGGCTGCGCACGTGCTGGCGATTTGAAGTGAGATCACGTCATGTTTGTGTGTGCGAAGTGCTTCTCCGCCCGTTGGCCCAGCCAATCTGAGCAAGTTGCTTTCATTTTTTGCGAAGTCGTATGAAATTCTGTTATTCCTGATATTTTTGAAGGCCCGGCATGTGTCGCACCAAGGTGCCTGAGGCAGCTTAGCTTGTTAGCTGCTTAGATTGCGTCGGCTGGCTGCCAGTGTGGCGAGCTGTAGGACATTGCAGGCCACAGGCGCGAGTCTGTTGCGTGCGTCTTCAGTATTCTGTTGGTCAAGGGGTCGAGCAGCATTGCAGGCAACCTAGTGTCATGATGCACCAAGACCCTCCGAAGCTACGCAGTTGCAATCAGTTGCACCGGTGTTGGGCCCTGGAAATACAGTATGTGCTCAAGCAGCTGCCCCGCGCACTGCGCAACATCGTGCCTCCGCTGGGCATCCAGAGCACTCGAGGTGTTTGAGGCGCAGCAAAAATGCACAAGTTCTCAGTGGGCTACCACAGCCGGGCGAGATGTTTTCTCAGACTACCAACGTTCACTGACGTCAACTGTGAAGCACTTTCAATGTGAGTCCAAGCTTCTCCTATTCTCCTTACAATTTCCCAAAGAAGAGAGCTCAAAAAAAGTCACGAATCGCACGAATGCCCGACAACCGTGCCAAAGGTGGTTGATATATTTTGTTGGCATTTCGTCCTTGCAATGTTCTATGTGCCTTCGCTGTGGCCCACCGTTGCGCAAAAAAAAGCGGGCGGCAGCTGCAGCATTGACGGACCTGGCGGCGGCAATCTTTGGCCAAAGTCTGCCCAAGTTGGAGGCGCGAAGCCATACTTTCGACCAGAGGTGCCGCGAGGTTACAAATCCCAGCAAGATTCATAACCTGCGCTCGCCTTTGCAACCTCACGCCGCCAAGTTTCGGTATGTGTTTTGCTCTTTTTGGGAGAATCGCTGCGAAGATTTTGGCACACCGGGGGTGTGGTTACGAATCCTGCGGGATTCGT